CTGAGTAATTACCTCGGTCGAGTTGACCTGTGACCTCGGTTAATCTCGGCTCGAGTTAGGTTGGTACAACTATCAACCTAAAAGACAAAACTTATTACTAGTAAGAATGACAGTGAGTATTATCATAAACAAATAATCATTCAAATATAATGATAATAATAATAATATATGACCGGGTTGGATCAGTTCAATAACGAGTTGAAAACACAAAAATATTACCCAACCCGCACAGTACTAGGTTTTAATCGGGTTGAGTCAGATTTGACCCAAACATCGAAAAAATTCAATCTAAACTTATTAGATTAGTTTGGATCAATTCGTGTTTACGAATTACCTATACCTGTTTACACTCGTACACCTAACCATTATACCATGCTTATTACATTCTATGCAATTGACTTAATTTAATTTTATAACAAATTTATAATTAAATATTTAATTTTATTAATTAAACATCAATAATTGACTTGAACCGACACTTAGTTGAATATAATTATTTAATGTTTTAATGACTACAATATTAACATATTTTATTGTTATTAATTTATTTAAATAATTTATATATATTATATTATTTTTAATTTAAAATTATATATTATATTAGATATAATTTTATTTGATTCAAATCAAGTTATAATTTCATTATTCTAATATGATTACAATTTTTAAAGAATTTATTTAAGATATGGTATAATTTTATTGAAATTTATATATATATATATATATATAGGATGGTTCAAACGACACCGGTGTAACTTTTACTAAGTGTTACACTGCTCAATAACTTTATATTAAATGTGAATTTTATAAATCCAACCGTTAGATTTAAAGTTCATATCACTTTATATGTGTATATCAAATTTTGTTAAAATTGAACAACTTGAGGGTAATTAAAGTGTTCATATTTTAATATATTTTAAAATAAATATATTACTTCAATTTTGTTTTATCAGAATGAAGTATCACATCATCTTGGATTAATATAAAATTTTGTATATATGATCTAAGAGAAATTTTTTTTCAATCTAATGGTTAGATTTACAAAATTCACATTTAATATAAAATTATGGAGTGATATAACACTTAATAAAAGTTATACCGGTGTCATTTAAACCCTCCTTTTATATATATATACATATATATATATATATATGAATATTTAAAAAAAAAATTTAAGAGACTCAAAATCACATAACTCAATTAGTAATCCATTGGTTTAAATTTTGTTTTCATGACTAAGTACTCGAGCCGATTTAATCACTAGCCCAATTTTTAAAACATTGTAGAGAACTACATTAGTATCTACTTTAATATTTAAAACAGACAATATCGTAATTGATTTAAAATCTAAAAAAAAAAAACAAAACAAAACAGACAATGTCATTGTTTATGTCAATTTTTTAATTAAATAAAAATAAACATGACATTATCGACTTTTAGTGTCAAGAGAAAGAATATTTTATTTTAATAAAAGCATATTTAAAAAATGGAGAATGACTACGTGGATTTTTATATATATATATGAAACTACTTATACACTAATTCTATAATTAATGTTTTTATTTAATCCATTCACGTTCCCCTCAAGAAAAATTTAATCCATTCACGTGGAAAACCCTACTTATAACATATTTTAATAATCTTCACATTTATTAGATGAAAAATGCATTAAACATTTTTGCTATTTTTAATACATTAAATATATATATTTATTTAATACATAATGTATTCATAGAATTCAACAGTCAACATGAGCCGTTTCATATTCGTGACGTATGGCTTTTCAATGGAAAGTGCATCAACTTCAATGCAAACATAAACCTCTGAAACGAGTTTCGACGCTTAGGATCACTTTGTTGAGTGTATAAAATACTTGCATTCCCTGTTATATTTCGAAACATTATTTTCGTGTTTGGTATAAGCTTTCTAAAGTCATCATATGGGTAACAGAATCAACATTTTGCCGGACGATGTCCTATGCCACATTCTCTCTTTCGTTCCAACCGAAGAAGTAGTTGCCACAAGTGTTCTATCCAAGAGATGGAAACCCCTTTGGCGTTCAGTTCCTGCTCTCGACTTCACCTGCTGGAACTACTCTTCAAACGATAAAGCCCGTTTTCGCTTTGTTCAGTCTGTCTCTACATTTATCCTCTCCCGTGATTTGAACCAACCCCTCAAAAGATTCCGCATCAGATGCTGCTCTTCTGTTTTTGATTCTGCCTTTTTCAATGCATGGCTTACCACTGCAGCGCAATCCAGAGTTGAACACATCGACCTTTGTATGGATCTTAAAATAATTGTCTTACCCTCAATCTTGCTTAACTGCAGCACCCTAGTGGTTCTCAAGTTGACATGCCAAGAAATGAGTGGTTTTTCATCTGTTCACTTGCCATCACTTAAAATCCTGCATTTGGTTGTATTTTTAGAGCGTACACATCTAGCGGCGTTTCTTTGTGGGACTCCTAATCTTGAGGACTTGGTAACCAAGTGTGTAAGGTTTAGTCACTATGAAACTAAAGGAATATTTAGAAGACTTCCCAAATTACTTAGAGCTGTCATAGTCAAAGATGCGGTTCCATTGGATGTTCTTTATAATGTTCACTTCCTGCGAATAGAGAAAATGGTAATGTGATGCTTTTGTCATTACTTTCAATATTCAAGGAAATTAGGGTTTCTAATGGCTTGATTGTGCTGTAACTCTTAGGATGATAAACACATCGAAGACCAGCTGCAGATTCCTATGTTTCACAATTTAACTCAGATTGAATTGTGCTATTTTGATTATGCTCACTACTGGATTGATCTGTTTGAAATACTTGAATATTGCCCCAAGCTTCAAAATCTCTCTATTTACATGGTTTGTTGAGTTACTATAATAACAATTTATATTTTGTTTTCTTCACATGTTTGCATTTATTTTGTTTGTTAATGCATGTTATCAGGAGTGTCCAGAAAACGCACCTGAGCGCGGTGTAAAAGAAGATTGGTCATGTCCACCACGTGTTCCCAAATGCATCTCATTTCACCTTATATCATGTTGCCTTAACAAGTACAGTGGCACTTTTGGGGAGTTTGAATTTGCAAAATATATTTTGCAGAATGCAAGAGTTTTGCGGGACATGACAATCTCCACTTGTGAAGATGAAGAGGAAAAGGAAAAACTTGAAATGATAAAAGAACTATCGTTGTGCATAAGAATCTCTTCAACTTGTAAACTATCATTTAATTGATACTCTCATGCAAAGCTTAGGGTAATAGCAACCTACAAGTAGTAATTTGATGTTTTGATTTTGATGGCTTGACGATTTGATTTTAATGTATATCGAATTGGTCGAGTGGACTTCTTACTTTATTTTTTTTCTTTTAACTAATAAACTTTTATATAATCAAATTCTTATATATTAAATTTGAACCTCAATATTTATAATATTTTTATAAATTTTACCTTGTGATGCTCGGCTAGATAGGAGTCCAATTTGACCTGACCAAGTTAAGTGATACTCCCTCTATTTTTCTTTTCATAGTCATTTTGACACTATTTTTTTGTTCTTTTTTCTTTGTCACTTTTCTAAAATCAATGGTTTATTAATTTTCTTTTTCATTTTTATCGTTGATAATTAATGTGTGTATACTGAACAATGTGTTTATTCATTTTCAATGAAACCTATTTTTTCTCCAATTACCTAAAGGGTATAACAGAAAAATAAGTAATAAATATTTTGAAAAACTAAAATATCAATTATTTTCTTAATTCTTGTACATAAACCTTATATATATATATGAATTATAAGGGAATCGCCCTACATAGTTATCCATTAAGTGGGTATCCACAAATTTTATAAATACCTGTAGATATTCATGAATATTTGTGATTCTTTTTAAAAACATTAAAATAAAAAAAGTATTAGAAATAACTTTAAGCTTGTATTTGATGTTAATTATATTGAAATATTAAAAATAAATAATTGACATTAATTTTTGAACTTGCAATTAATGTTATTTTTAAAAAAAAATATTAAAATGATATAGAAAAGTGTAAGATAAAAGTATAAATATTTAAGTAATTTTATTTAGCGAGTACTTGTGGACATGGATACTACTAAACCCTCCCACATCTCATTTATAAACGTGTAGAAAAATATGTGTCTATTACTCGCATGTATCCATTTAGGCTACCTATTTATTATTTGGAGCAGATTTTATCCGTAGATACTCACGAGTACAAATTTTTTTGTCATCTCTATCTGATACCTATTGTTAGGAACACATGGATGAGGGGTTAAAAATGGAAGAGAATACACATAAGGGATATTGGCACCAAATAATCCCAAAAATTAAGACATTGGATTTATAAATTTTTCTCACTTATATACTACTCAATATACCATATTCTATTCGTTGTCAGATTCTCATTCATACTTACACACCAATAACTTCTTATTGGAGTGGTGATCCCTCTAATCATAAATCTACCGCAAGTTTTATTGTTTTAGGAAATTGTCTTATTTCTTTGGTGAGTAAGAAACAAGTGTTATCAATTGGTCATCTATAAAAGTTGAATATTATGCCATAGTGTCAACCATTACAAAAATTGTTTGGGTTGTGCTAGTTACCTGCTGATATGGACATTCTTTTTTGGTTCAACTCACATGTTTTCTGATAACATGGATGATATAGAAATCACTCGTAACTCGGTCTCCCAAAAACCAATCACATTATGGAAATAATCTATTTGGCAAAGAATTTTGTGTTCAAATTAGATTACTGTGAAAAAAATTAATTTCTAATCCAAGAAATTGGGAAAACCTATGACAAGACAAAAATAAAAGAAGGAAAGCCATGCCTAATTGCTTGAGTTGAAAACTTTAATAGAGAAATGATGATACATTTTGCTATGTCTTCATATTAATGCTAGAATAAATGTAATAAAAATTGAAGAGGGTAGAGAATAGATATATGTGAGATTGATGAAATGATGTGTCATGACATGAGATACATACCGGAAGCCAAATGCACGCAATTGTTGATGCAAGTGCTAAAATTGATATTATAAAGCACGGCAAGAAATATGGAAACCTGAAGAGTGATTTATGTTTTGACAAATGAAAGTCAGCAGAAAAACAAAGTGAAAAAGGAATTTAAAAATAAAGAGAAAAAAAAAAACAAATTTCAATGATTAAAACTATTTTTTTAGGGTTAGAAAACAACAAAAATGTACATACCTATCCCAAAAGGAATCCTTTGGAAATAGATGTGGGTATTTCAACACTGGCTAAAAATTCCACGAAATAAAGAGAACGAGTAAGTGAAATTGAATAGGCTTTAGTCTTCTAAAAACAAAATATATTTAAAGGATAACTCTTAGGTCTTTATGTCATGGTTTAATTAACAACAAACAAATAGAAAACAAGACTTACTTGGGCCAAAAAACCTCCTAATGCTGGGCCAATGACTAAACCTACTCCCCAAGCAGCAACTACCTGAAACAACATCACACTTTGAATAATTCTAACTACAAAATATTTTTTTACAAATGATATAGTAAGCAAAGGTTGGTGAGACTTACTGTTGAGAGTCCAAGAGCTTGCTCCTCTTCTCTGAAAATTTCAGTAGCATAAGCCTGTTAATGAAAAAGATTGTAGTATACATATATTAGTAGAAGCTATAATTTGATGGAATAAGGAGAGTTACATAAACAATCATAAAATTACACAAGTTCAAACTTTTAATTTTGCACTTATCCCATTGGATGAAACATTAAATTGGTAAGTGCTAATTATTTATGTGTGGGTATCTATAATATATATTTATATAGATATAACAACAACCTTTATCGGTCCAAGTAAACCATTTAAACTTCCAAGAAGAAATCTCATGCTAATAGCCATCCAAAAATTCGTACTTAGACCAAATAATGTGTTGAAAATGACCCTGAAATCAAGTAAGAAAATCCCAATTGTTATGGGAAACATATTGAATAAATATAGCAAGAAAGAAAGCATATACCTCAGTCAAATGTATACTTACACAGTAATAATCCCTATAATGATAACGGGTTTTCTACCATAGCGATCAGAAATCATACCCCACAATATGGATGTTAAAGCCCTACCAAGCATCAATGATGATCCTACAACATTTCAACGTTCACATGGGGACCAGTAAAGACTTGCGACCAACATAATCAATGAAGATAAGACATCAAATAATTGAATTACAAACAGAAATCTTACCCACATAACCAGCATAGGTACTTATATCTTCCTCTGTTTCTGCAATGTTAAAATCCTTCACCTGAAATTAAATATTCATTATATGTTGCAAGGATGCATACATAGTTGCCACGATATATACCTCTATTAATGTTTTATAACCTAATCTGTTATTTTTTATATCCTCATTTTTCATAAACAAAAGTTGAAGAATGAAATATACATAAACTGAATCTTCTACCCTTTTAGATTCATTTTATTTTTCTTCAAAGAATGAATAAAGGAATATGTACTTCAAATTCTTTTTCACAATACGACAAAAAACATGACTTTGCAAAAAAACTTAAGACATGCTTTTTTGATACTTGTCATATGTGTATCTAGAAGTATTTGATAATTATTCATGAAGTATCTGAAGAAAAAAAATTATAAAATAAATAAAAAATATTGAATACTTTTAAAATATGTATCTAAAAGTATCCATGAAATATGGGAATCCAACATAAGTAGTTAAATACCACACCAATACTTTTCCATATTTTTGAGCATCCAAGCTTCATAGAATTTATATCAGTTCATGGTAAAAGCAAAACGTTCTATTTGCAAGCCTAAATTAAAATTTGGAGTGGCCTCACTGTATAATTGAAATTTTACATTCTCATTTACAATGGCCATTCCAAGATTCACTTTATTCCAATGGATTTCAACAGTACAATTTCCAATTCAAAATGGCTCAAGTATGCCGTCTCATCAGTTAATTCATTATGATAGTTGTGAGAACAGCTAAAAGACAGAACTCTCTTCAACACAAAATCTGTAATTCCTTTAAAAGTGAAAAAAAGTAAATGCATAGATTTATCCATGTGGACTAGTACCAGCATGATGGAAATTAGTTTTTAAAGATAATATAATGAAAAATTGATTCTACAGTGAATTGATACTCAAATTCATTTTTGAAATGATGAAAATAATTAGGAAAATTAGAGATCAACCTGAAGACAAAAAGTTAATAAATCAACTGTATATAGGTTCTGTATCTGGAACCAAGCTAGAACTTTCAAAAAGTGATGCACAAGCACAACATGTAAACTTCTTTGCTACAGATTTAATAAAAATTTAAATGAAAAGCTGAAATTGAACATGAAACAAACAAAAATACTACCCAGCATAAGTATTCAGAGCAACCTCCAAGAAATAACAATATCAAATCAGAGCTGCATCATATGGGAGGAGGTAAAAGTAAAACTAATACCAAGTAGAAATTGAAACTCACCATGAAATAAACAGAAAGAGTGATGCCACAGGCAACGCTGTATTGAAAAACAGAGAGACATCAGAGATAAATATAGAAACTGTTTCAGTCAACTGAGTGTAGAAACTATAGATATAATTAAGATAACATGATATGTTAATACACAGAAAAAAAACAAACAAAAAAAACATTGATTCTAGAGTTCAACTTGAAAAACACCAACTAGTGTTAAAACATCAGCTGGAAAAGGATGAAAATATTTCAATTTATTGCAGTCATCAATCAAAGTGGGGAGTAATGTTAAGTTTTGTTGATCTCTATTTTTAATATGATATTAGACCTTTGAAAAACTACTAAAGGTTCTAACTCAATTGGTTGAGAAGGTGCATGAATCGATAGAAAATTCTAACACTAATCTCATATGCACACAAGAAATGTTAAAATAGAAAATAGAAAATAGAAAAGTTAGCACAAAGCATCTACAAGCTTAGAACTCAAAAACAAAAAGCAACCGAAAAGAGAGTTTTGGAACACAAAAGGTGCTTACTGCCACATAATACCGCCATCCATATGTACGAAAGATTTCTAAAGGAAACATCCTTTTTCAGCTCTTTTGCTTGATCCACCTTACAACCAGGACAATTCTCATAATACTGTTTCTTCAAAAATGGTTGTTCAATGTTCTCCTCTTCCATCTCTGAAAGACAACCTCACTTCTTCTTTCACACAGGTTCCTCCTATTATGCAATGAACATAAGCCTTTAGTTTTTACTCTTCTTTAAGTACAAGGAGTAAAAGGCAAATACTCGATTGTTCTGGTGACTCATGACAAGCTTAGTTAGAGTGCATTACGCTAGCATTTTCCTCAAATTGCTCCTTGTACTCCTGTCCTTTTTAAAGTTAAACTAACCCCGGGTCATATATATCACACTGAGACTTTTTATTTTTTGTTTTGCTTTTGACAAAAGAAAATGTACCCCTATAAAAAAAAATTATAAACAAGATAAATTTAGGATGTATTAGATTAAGATTTTAAAATACTCTTTTATCTAAAAAAAAATTGTAATATTTGATAATAAAAATTATTAATATAAAAATAAGACTTTTTTCTTAATATATCATGGTATTATTTAATTAAAATAATCAAAGTATGTTAAAATTGTGATATTGAATTAAGATTTTTTTATATAAAAAAGTTCATTAATATTTAAAAACATTGGAATTTTAATGAATTACTTTTAAAGATAGCTTTTGTGAGATGTTTTTAGTAAAATTTATATATACAATCCACAATCTCACTCAAACTTTTGAGGTTTTAATGATTTTTTTTTTCTTTTTCTTCGATTTCTCTTAGTTTTTTTTCTCTTCCCAATATTCACTTTTGCATTTATAGCTTTTCTCTATCTTTTCTCTTTCTTCTCTTTTCGATCTCACCTTTTGTTATTTTCTTTAATTATTCCGTAATAAAAAAATAAAAAAGTCTCTCATTTCTTTTTTCTTCTTTTTCTCTTTGTTTATTCTCTTATCATTTTTTTTTATCTATTAATATTGATGTCTAATTTATATATATTTTTATGAATCATTAAATATTTAGAATTATTTTTATATTATTAAGCAAAATTATTAAAATTTAACTAATATTTATTTTTATTAAAGTTTAATATTGAAACTTCAAGATTTTAAACATATATTGATGAATATATTTTTTGTATATGATAAAAATTAAGTTGTGTTGTCTAAATTAAACATTTAAAATTTAAGAAATTTGAATTATATTATCCAATCAAAATAATTAAAAATTCAAGCATTTCAACTTTTAAATTTTTTCATCTAAACATAATATAACAAATTTTTGGATTATTTCAAAATTAGTACCTGAAATATACCTTAAAAAAAATATAAGATAAAACCTTGAGAGTGTGTAATAATGAGATTGAAAGTTTCATAATGTAAGTTATATAACATTAGACCAAATAGACTTAGTACCTTTTGACCCTAGTTTTTTTATTGATCTACTGGACCTTATTGACCCATCGAGCTGGATCAATCGACTTAATCCTTTTGGCAGATGATAAACACACCTCCACTCTCGTATAAACACATCCCATTTTTAAAAAAAAATGTCTAAATTACCCTTTTAAAAAAAATGAAATTCCTAAATTTACACCTCCCTTCCCCGCACCCCCCTTCCCCACACAGAACGGCACCAGAACGGGCCGTTCTGCAAGAAGAACAGTCCGTTCTGATTGCAGAACGCCTCGTTCTGCTTGCAGAACGGCCCGTTCTGCAAGTAGTACAGGCCGTTCTGCTTGCAGTACAGGCCGTTCTGATTGTAGAACGGGCCGTTCTGGGGCCGTTCTGTTGCGGTACAGGCCACCGCGTTACTTTTAAAATGGCTACCTTATGACTTATTTTAAAATTCTGATTTTAAAAGTCATTTTTGTACTAGTGTGTCTTTCCATAGAACAAGTAAGAGTCTTTCTCTTACAAGACCACCTGCTGACATTGCGCACCCCTCTTCTTTCTCTTTTTGGAACTCCTCTTCTTTTTTTTTCCCGCACCTCACACACCCCTCTTCTTTCTCTTTCTGGCACTCCTCTTCTTCTTCTTCTTACTGTTACGGAAAGTTCTTTCCAGAATTATATAAAAATGTTCCGGAAAATACTTTCCATAATATTAAATTCTTATTCCGAAAAGTATTTTCCGGAAATGTTTTGTTACATAATTCCGGAAAGTACTTTCCATAATATTAAAGTTACTATTACGGAAAGTTCTTTCCGGAATTATATGAACAATAATTTTACTATTCCGGAAAGTACTTTCCGGAATGCTAATGATTGTAAAAGTACTTTCCAGAATGCTAATGACTGTAAAAGAACCTTTTTTATGCTGGTTATGGTGGGACTAGTCTTTTTTTTCTATTCAGAATGACTGTAAAAATATATTGCTTAATGACATTGAGCGGAAAGAGGCTTTGGTAAGAAGAGGGGTGTGGAGTGTGGGGTGTGGGGAAAGGGGGTGCGGGGAAGGGAGGTGTAAATTTAAGAATTTCATTTTTTTAAAAAGGGTAATTTAGACATTTTTTATATTTTTTTAAAAAAAAGGGGGTGTGTTTATACGAGAGTGGAGGTATGTTTATCATCTGCCAATCCTTTTTAAGCTTAATAATGAAGAAGTCAATCCACTAGGCCAACCTATTAGACTAGGTTAATTTTGAGAGCTCTACTAGTTAACAAATATCATAAATTTGAACATATTATTTAAATTTAATAGCATGATAGATAAAATATCAATGCATGAAAGCTTATATATAAAGAAATTTTATTTAAAAGACATGAAGTTAAAATCAATTATTTATTAAAATATTAAAAAAATTATATTGAAATTAATTTTTTTAAATTCAAATCTTATTATTTATGTTATTTTTTATATTAATTATATTATTTTTTAAAATTTATATTATCCTTTAAAATCTTATAAAATTCTTTAAAAAAATTTAAATTCTCATGATATAAATATATTAAAAATTATATTACTAAATCCTAATTATAAGATTTTTAAAAATATTAAATATCATTATATTTTACAAAGTTGTTTAAACTCTAAAAAAACACTAATGTTAAAATAGTTTTATAAAATTTCAATTCAATGCGGTCTTCATAGTGCATCTCAAGAAATCTCATGTTATATATATACTTTTACTAGTCTACTTATGTTAATATTCATCATTTTTTATGTATAATTTTCTACGGAATTATGTTACATATTATATCTATATTTTCTCTTTATTGTTTTCGTAAGTATCTACTAATATTAGTTTTTATCTATCATTTTCCTTATATTAAAACACTTGATACATAATTTTATCTCTCATGAAAATTATATAGCAAAGTTGGTCTGTTTTTTTTTTTTTCTTCTTAATAACTGAGTTATTCCTGTAAATAGGTGTTCCTCACGCTCTACCGTGTCACATCATTTCATTTGACAATAATTAACTTAGTAATGAGACACGGCTACTGACGTGTTCTGTTGTCTTTGGTAACACTACTGACATGGTCTTACCTATCAAAATCTACATATTTATTATCTATTAATTCAGACTTACTTATAAAATTTATAAGAAAGAAACAACAATAATAAAAGAAAATCAATAATGTTGTGGGCTCCATGTATGATAAAAGTTAAAAACGTCAATAAAGTAAAACTAATCATAAATTTAAAGGTATCCAATGATTTTCACCTGTTGATGTGACAAAAAGAATTGGAAAAAAATAACATATTTGTTAATATATTTTTTTAAACTAAGTTTCCTCGATCTACGATACGAGTAATTGGATCTAAAAAATATACGATATTTATGGTAAACTGTCTGTTTTTTTTCATATGTTGCAATTGATGGTATTCTGTGCATATTATTGTTCACATACAAGGCATGTTTTATGTCCCTTGACATTGTATTGCAAAAAATTCCCATATGCTGTAAAGTAATTGATAATGCTAAATAACATAACATGCAACTTGAAAGGGGGCCATTATCAAACGACATTTATTGGGACAAGCTCACTAACATGAATGACAGAGTTGTTAAATTATTATAAAAAATTATTAGATTTTCTTCAAAAGATTTATAATACATGGAATAATTTAGGTCATTTAGGTCATTATTTTCGAAGACATAAGTCAACGGGATCTAAAATTATCACATAATTAGAAAGGAAATTTTGATAAATAGAAAAGAGAATTTAGAATATTACAAACAAAAATAAAAAAAAATTTAAATGAAAAATTCAATAAGAAATTACATCGATTTAAGATTTTAATTATTACGGTAAAATTTTCGCGGTTCAAATTATAATCTAAATTCAATTAACCTAAATCAACATGAACATAATCTAAATCTAGATCTATTAAATTTCATAAAAATGTTAAATGCAATTATGATCTCACAAATTTCGTGAATTTTAGGAATGGTAAACAATTGATTTAGCAATTTAGTTTATTTTAGGTATAGATCTAAATCCAAAATTAATCTTCAAAACTAATCTGGATCTATTAGAACAAAATTTATAATCATGAAGAATGAAAAATAGATCTAGAACATAGAAGAAGATAAAAAGAATTCGTATAGTAAAAATATATCGAAAACTTAAATTTTGTTAAAAACTCAGAGCACAACTTGTGCACACACTATTTGCGAATAGAAAATATTATGATGTTTATTCAATTGAAAGAGCACGACTTTTATAAGCCTTTACATGGATAAGATAAAAACTGAATCTACGTAGATGGCTATAAAATAGGCCACGCACACCTAAACAATAGTTAACTGACATACTAGTTTAACCCTGAGAAATAGGGCTTTATTTAAAATGCAAAACTAATCCAACAATCCCTCCCTTAAGCTCTAGCTTACTGTAGTAATATCAACTACTCCAAGCATTTGTCGAAGTTTCTCAAATTGTTCAAGCTTCACCGCCTTAGTCATTATATCCGCCACCTGTTCCTGAGTATTGCAGTATTTCAGTTGAACAACGTGATCATTTACAAGATCTCTGAGAAAGTGAAATTTTACTGCAATGTGCTTACTACGCCCATGAAAGACAGGATTTTTGGACAGCTGAATAGTAGAGTTGTTATCGCATAGAATTGTGATTGATTCCTTTCTTTCGATCCCAACATGTTCTAAAATTCTGTGAAGCCAAATGCATTGACATGCACATGCTGCTGCAGCTATATATTCCGCCTCTGTAGTTGATAACCTAACTATTGACTGCTTTTTCGAAGCCCATGATACAGCCCCTGATCCTATTATGAATACTGCTCTAGAAGTGGTTCTTCGTCTGTCATCCAAATCCCCAGCATAGTTACTGTACTATAGGCTGTGATTTCAGTCTTTCCTCCCTTTTGATATAGAATACTGTACTCAATGGTACCTTTTACATACCTCAGAATACGTTTTGTGGCAGCCAAATGTGATGCCTTTGGAGTAGCCATGTACCTGCTAATTAGACTCACTCCGAACATTAGGTCTGGCCGAGTGACTGTTAGGTACATGAGACTGCCAATAACTTGTTTAAATTTGGTGGCATCAACTGCTCCTTCATCATCTTTGGATAGTACAGTGCCTGGCACAATTGGATTGCGAACGGGGTTGCATTCTGTCATGTTGAACCGAGCTAACATCTCATGGGCATAACGTCTTTGGCAAATGAAAATTCCCATATCACTTTGTATAACTTCAATTCCTAGGAAGTACCTCATTCTTCCCAAATCCGTCATGTCAAATTCTAATTGCATCGAACTCTTGAACTCTTCACACATTTGACGACTATTGCCAGTAAAAATTATGTCATCAACATATAAGCTAACAATTAAAATATTACCATCAAACCTTTTAATGAACAAGGTGTGTTCACTAGAGCACCGATCAAAGTGTTCTTTTGCAAAATATGCTTCAATCCTGCTATACCAAGCTCGTGGAGCTTGTTTAAGCCCGTAGAGAGCTTTCTTGAGACGATACACTTGATTTTCTCTACCCCGTTTGATAAACCCTTCAGGCTGCTGGACAAACACCTCTTCTAGAAGTTCACCATGCAAAAATGCACTCTTTACGTCAAGCTGAAAGACTTCCCATGTTCCTTGAGCTGCCAAGGCTAGTAAGACTCACATTGTATCAAGTCGAGCGACTGGGGCAAAAACCTTAGTATAGTTGATTCCGAATCTTTGAGCGTAACCTTTAGCAACCAATCTGGCCTTGTATTTCTCTATCAAACCTCTTTCATTGAATTTGGTCTTAAATATCCATTTCACACCGATAGGTGTAGCTTTTTTTGGAAGATCCACGAGTTCCCAAGTGTTATTCCTTTCTATTGCTTCGATTTCAGCGTTCATTGCATCTCTCCATTTTGGATTTGTATGGGCTTCTTCAAATGAGAGAGGATCTTCAGATGCACACATCATCATGGCTAGTAAGCTCTCTTCTTCTTCTGTTAGGTTCGTTTCATAATCGGTCATCCATGCAGGTGGTCGTCTCTGTCTTGCTGCCCTCCCTTCAGTTGGAGGATGATGAGATTCTGACCCTGAATCAAAATTAATCAGTGGGTCTAAGTTGGTGTCATGACTGACTGGAAGTTCGTGTGGGGTAGAGTCTACCGGTGTCTCTTCTAGGACTGGGGTTTCACCTTCTTGAGTATCATCCTTTGCACTGCCATGGCAGTTCCAGCTTTTGTCCTCCTCAAACACTACATCCCTGCTTATGATGACTTTGTTGTTAGTGGGATTGTATAGTTTGTAAGCTTTTGATTCTTCACTTACCCCTAAGAGTATACATGGTTGACTTTTATCATCTAATTTGTTGCGCTTCTGATATGGAATATGAACGTGACCAATGCAACCAAATATTCGAAAGTAGCCAACATGTGGTTTGACTCCACTCCAAAGTGCTTCTGGAGTTTGGTGATCTATTGCTGATGATGGACTTCGGTTTTGGACGTGAACGCACCACCGGACAGCATCAGGCCAATATGATTTTGGAACACATTTCTCATGTAAAACTGCTCGAACTGCATTCATGATGGTGCAATTCTTTCTTTCTGCAACTCCGTTTTGTTGCGGAGTGTAAGCTGTGGTCTTTTGTCTTGAAATCCCTTGATGGTTGCAGTAATTTTCAAACTCCTCAAAGGTAAATTCACCACCTCTATCATTCCTTAGACAGATAATGGAGGCGTTGGCTTCTTTTTCCACACGGGCTTTGAAACTTTTGAATGCACTAAATACTTCAGATTTTGCATGCAGAAAGTAAACCCATGTTTTACGAGTGTAATCATCAATAAAACTCAGAATGTACCTTTTGTTGCTGTGAGATGAGGGTGAAATGGGACCACACACATCAGCATGAATTAGTTGGAGTTTCTTCAAGGCTCTCCAAGGACTTTGTCTGGGTATGGTGTCCCTATGTTGTTTTCCAGTGAGACATGAGGTGCATGTTTCTTTGGACGCCTTTAGAGGTGGAAGGCCGGTTACCAAATGCTTGTTGGCAAGTGTGCAAAGTCCCTGAAAGTTCAGATGAGCAAACCTTTTATGCCAAAGTTGTACTTCTCGTTCAGAAGATTCATTTACATGAAGGCACTGTGATTCGCGAGGATTCATTGAGGATGTTAGATAAAACATCCTATTTCCTTTCATGCTAGAATGTAGAAGTAATCCACGATCTGGATGGAAAATTTTGCAAGTGCCATTTTGAATCAATACAGCCAAGTTGCCCTAAACTTAGAAGATTGGTTCTAAGTTCTGGGACGTAATATACATCTGTTATGGTATATGAGCAGCCATTAATACAAACTCGAATGTCCCCTTTTGCTTCTACCGCCATAGTGGTGTCATTTCCAAGCTTGACGGTCTTGCACAATCCCTGTTTGTGTATCTTGGTAAACCACCGTTTATTTCCGGTCATATGGTTACTGCAACCAGAATCAAGAAACCAATCTTCTTGCTGCACAGATTGATGATTTGTTTCTTCATATGCTACCAATAGTACTTCATCTTCTACCCTTGATGATTCCTCGTACATTGAATAATGCACTTGTTTTTCCACTTGTGGGCACTCGTATTGGAAGTGTCCTAGTTTGTGACACCGAAAACACTCTACAATCACTTTATTCAGTGATTGTCTTCCGTGACCTCTTCCATGACCACGACCTATTTTTGATCTACTATCATGAGTAATTTTCAGAACTTGTTCATCGGGTTGAGAGTCCTGCATTCGCTACTCATGAACCAGTAAGCTTCCATGGAGTTCATCAAGACTTAGTTTACTCAAATCATTAGATTCCTCTATTGAACAAACCACATAGTTGAATTTTGGGGTCAGTGATCTGAGTATTTTGCTAACCACAGTACTTGAGTCCATCACCTCTCCATTCGACTTCATCTTGTTGACAGTACTGAGTGTACGTTCCAGGTACTGATCAATGGTTTCAGCATCTTTCATAGTGAGTAATTCAAACTCACGTCTCAAGGCTTGGAGCTGTGCTCGCTTGACCCTGGTTGAGCCTTGGAATTTTTGTTGCATGGATTGCCAAATCTTCTTGGACGTACTCTTGTCCAAAATAGTGTCTAATACCTCCCTGTCAATGGCTTGAAACAGGTAATTTTTTACCTTCAAGTCCTTCAATATAGCGTCAGCTACAACTTTTTCTTGAGCTTCAGTGGGGTGGGTACCTAACAGCGGTATCCCATCTTGAATAATCTGCCACATATCCTTGCTACGTAAGAAATTTTCCATGGTCATAGACCAAAACTCATAATGACCATCAAATTTCGGGATGGCAGGTTGAACAAATTTCTCTGAGCCAGACATCCTTCTTTCTTCTGTTTATGCACTCACACTGTTTCCCTTTCTTTTGTATATGCACTCACACTGTTTCCCAGACCCTACACTCTTTTCACTCCTTTCACTCACGTCATACCAGTTCACACTGTATCAGGCCCCGTATGGAGCTTTGATACCAATTGTTAAAAACTCAGAGCACAATTTATGCACACACTATTTGTGAATAGAAAATATTCTGATGTTTATTCAATTGAAAGAGCACGACTTTTATAAGCCTTTACATGGATAAGATAAAGTTGCTGCAATGGCTGGAACGCATGTAGCATTTGACATGGATGATACTGGTGCAGTCGGGAATGAGTCGGCTGGTCCTAAAAATGGTGCAGCAGCTGCTGCTGGGCATGATCATGATGATACACAAGCAGGTGCGGGCCCAGGCGGTGCTGCCATTAAAGCAGCTGACGCAGTTGCTGTGTTAAATTTTCCTGCAGTTGGTGCCTTGGTGGTCACGGCTGATGCACTAAAGCATGGTGATGCAGCAGCTGTTGCTTTTGATGCACCTGCACTGGCTGAGACAGCTGCATGTGATACAGCTGGTGCTGGCGCTGAAGCTCCTGGGGCAGCACCACGTGAAGCTCCTGGGCCTTTGATCAGCGTTAAAAATCCAAGGAAAAAGAAGAAAGCAGCTGATGCCGCAAATTTGATATCGAAGCAAGGTGCTGATGCAGCAGCTGTTGAGCTTTACGCAACTGCACTAACCGTGGCAGCCACTACACCGTTAGGGGCTGTGGCAGGTGCTGACTTTGCACATAATCCGAGTCCCAATCATGCAGGATCAGTTCAGCATATTGGTGATGATGCATTAAGCACCAATTCACGGGTGCATGGGAAAGATGGAGATGGTTCTCCTGTGATAGAACCAGCTACTGGGCTGGTCGGTGCATTGGAAGAAGCAGCTGATGCAGCTGCGGTTGTAACTTTAATGACCGCCTCGGTGAAAGAAGATCTTCATGATGCATCTGGTGCCTTGCTGGTCACGGATGCTGCATTCGCCCCAGCTGCTGATCCAGCTGCTTCACAATCAGCTACTGATGCAGCCGAGATGGAAGCACTTAATGCTAGTTGGATCAAGTACTTTCAAGCTCGTGACGCTGCAAAAGGAAGAACAGCTGGCTTAAAAGCTGCTCAGCTATGGCACAAAGCTATTGAGGCTGATGCTGCATATGTGGAGCGCCAAAATAACTCAGCTGCGACAGAGGCTGGCAGTCATGCTAGTGCCTCAACAAAATCTGCAAACAGGGTCAAGGGGGTTGCAACAGTCACGAGTAGTGTTGGAACAGCAACAGAAATTAAAAGCACCCCCCGGGCAAGCCCAAGCAAACCTGTGCTGATTATCAGCTAAGGTCCAAAGCTAAGGCCGTCAAGCCTGCTAAATTCTCTTAAATTGGAACATTTAGGAATCCTGCTTGAATATACTGCTATAGTTTGAATGATTTGTTTCTTGAAATATGCATATTGCTGTGGCACTGTCTAGCTACGTAGTTTTTTCTTTACTTTGTTTGATGGGTTTTGGTCTGGTCCCCCATCTGTACTTTTACATTCTTTTATATTTTAGCTCTTTTTGATATGCTGCAGATGAATGGTGTGGGCTGAGGTGTTAACTTAGTTAGGATCTCTTGCCCACATAGTGATGCATTAGCATATCTATCTTCTTTCAAAAAAAGATAAAAACTGAATCTACGTACATGGCTATAAAATAGGCCACGCACACCTACGCACACCTAAACAATAGCTAACTGACATACTAGTTTAACCCTGAGAAATAGGGCTTTATTTAAAATGCAAAACTAATCCAACAAATTTTACCGTAATTTATGAAACCTTGAATCAAATGAATGAATTAGTCACACATCTTTATCAAGGTATTGTATTTCCTTTATGTAGAAAAATGTAAAGAGAAAACTTTGAGAGAGAGATAGTAGAGAATTTTGAAAAACTTGTAGAGGAAACAACTCTAAAATCTGAAGAAAAAAAATGAGTGTAAAGTGTATATAACAAGTCTAACAACACTTATTAATAGAGAAATATAGTGGGCCTAATCAGAATATTTACAAGGACCAATCCATCAAATCAATTAATTACATCATTAAACAAATCCTAACATTACATTCTAAAAATAAAAAGAAAATACTATGCAAGACTATAACTTTGCAACGCATTTCTGGGTCGTTTAACATCCTAAATGGCATTTACTCTCAATAGAGAAGTTCTTTAACTCTCTCTTATCTTTTTAGCGACATCAAGAATGTCCAAATCTGATTTTGGGAGCTCTAGATACAACCTGCACAAGAAATAATATCAAAATAGGAAAAACAATTATGAAAAATAACTGAAATTTACAATTAAGACCAAAATGACTCACTAGAACAAATCAAAACTATTATATCACAATGTAATACTAATAAAATTCAAATAAACAAAAAATAATGCATAGAAAGATATACAAATTTGGTCTATCAAATACCCTCATACTTATTCTTTTGCACTCTAAGGCAAAACTTACTAATAAACCTAAAACTAAAAAGAAAATAAATACAAAATTTCAACACTTTTTAATGAATTTCCAATGTATTGAAAAAGAGAAAGAGTACAATTATTCCTAGATTCAAGGCTACAAACAATCTATGAGACATAAATGACATTAAAAGCAAGCAAGTTAACAAGTCAAATTAAAGAATGATTCAAAAACTCATAGGACTGCACAAGATGATGTATAACTCTTAACTCTCAAGTGTTTAAAATTGTATTTACACTTAAACCTATCATGAAAACTAGCACATCCAAGTTTTAACAAGCCTCTAATTTCCACAACTTGAAACATATACAATTAAAGATTAGAAGGACTTTTATTTAGCTTGTAATGTGGTCGTGGTAAAGGTAGGATAAAAGAAGGATTTTTAAGCTACAAGTAGCCTCCTTGATCTTGATGAAATGCAATTAATGCAAGCATTTAATACATCAACGGATACTTCTTATTTTAAGGAACTCGTAATAGACAAATGGAGCAAGTTTGTAAGGAGCCCTTAAGGTTTTGCAATAGTGATCTTCATCCAAGATATTATATAAGGAACTTCAAGATCAAAAAGAATAATTTTGTATAAATTATTATTCCTTCATTCTTTCTATAATGACTTTTGTTCTTAACTAGTTGTATCACATCTTGTCAATAAGACAACAACATTTGTAAAACTTTACCCATAATAATTGTTGATATAGGATTGAGCCTGAAGAAGTTTGTCTATAAAAGAATACTTGTTTGAGCTTGAAGAAACTTGATTCTGAAAGAATACTTGGCGTTGAAGATTGGATAGGCTTTATGTTAAAAGAATACTTGGGTAGATTGCTTAAAGAGGCAATTCAAAGAACACTTAAGTTTAATAAAGAAGTACCTTGTTGAAAGAATAATTGTATCTTGTTTAAGATAATGGAACTCAATCTAGTTAGATTGAGAACTAGATGTAATATCGGTGGTTAAGACAAACCAACATAAAAATTATCGTGTATTTTGTCTGCCTCTTCTCTTACACTTTTTACTGTTAGCAGTACTACTTTATTGCTCAAAAAAGTGCGAGGTTTTAATTGACATTCAACTCTCTTTCTAGTGTCCGTGTTTTCTCCACATTTCAGTATAAGCTCAACCTTTGACGGGGTTGAGCATCTAACTGTCCAAAAAGAGAAAAATTTATTATGGGAAATAGTGAAAGCCAATACCTACCAAGGGGAGCTTCTCTTACAAAGTCACCAGCCGTTAATGGAGAAGCCTACCCATATTGGAAGGGTAAAATGGAAATGTTCATTAAATCCACCTAATACCACCTCTAGAAGATCATCACACAAGGAGATGTAGATTTTACTAAGCCTAAGAGCCATTACACTCAAAAGGATTATAACATTCTACAACTCAATACAAAAGCCAGATACATTTTGGCTTGCTTCTTATCTAGAATCGAGAACAACAAATTTTATAGCTACTCTACGACCAAAGAAAATGGGAAGCCATCAGAGTAATTCATGAGGGTACTATAAGGATGTCAGACTCAAATGAGCTACCATTCTTCAAAGAAATTAAGTTGTTTTCCATAAAGGAGAATGAGACCATAGGCAAAATGTTTGGAGGATTCTAAAATTTTTTTAATGGGTTAACATTCATGGAAATTGAGTTTTCAAAAGGTCAAAACAATCTCAAGATCTTAGATAGCCTTCCAAAGATCTCAAAGACCAAAGCCACCACAATCTCAAAGGCTCATGACTTGAAAGCTCTTTCTCTTGATGAACTTCTTAAAGCTCTACCAATCCATGAAGTTCACCTGAACAACAAAGATTAACTTAAAGCTAACCAATCCATTACTTTGAGAAGTGTTGAAACCAATAAGAGAAGAGATAAAGTGAAGGCATTGAAGTTTGAGTCTAAGCCCAATAGCTTAGATGGTAGCTTTGAGAACTCGATAGATGATTTTTCATGTCTAAAAATTTCAAGGACATGCTGAAAAAGAAAGGAAAACTGAGGAGTTTCCACAAGAAAAAGGACAAGTTCAAGAAACTTGGTCAAAGAGACAACAAGAGGTCGTCTACTAAATCATAAATCCTAAATCTTAAACTCTAAATGAAACGATACAAAGATTGAGGTAAATTCTGATTCCAACTCCTATTCATCTGATTTTGATCAAGAAAAGATGTCTTATGAGAATCTTCTTGCAAAATCTCATATGATCTCTCTAGAGTATAATAATTTAATAGAGAAATGTAAAATTTTACAAAGTGAGAATGATAAACTCAATATAGACATGTTAGACACTACAAGAAAGATTTAGACTTTTAAAGAAAAGATTAATAGCAGCGTCCCACTTGAGGTTACAACATTAAAAGCTAAAAACGTACAACTTAGAAGGGACCTAGCTAAATTTGTTGATGGGTCTTCTAAATTAAACATGCTTTTGAAACATAGAAGGCTTTAATAAAAAAAAAAATTGGTCTTGACTTTGACTCTTGATCTAAGACATCTTAATTCATACCTAGACTACTTTTTGCAAAGTTAGTGGAAAAGGAGGACAAGCTTGAAGTAAATGGAAAGATAAGTCTAAGGTCATGGGTACTAACAAGAAAGAACCCAAAATGATTTGGGTGCCAAACTCATAGATAATCTCCGTTACAAGTATCCTTGGTGGGAAAAAGGAAGGACTCACACTAGTACCTAGATAATGGGTGCTAACGATACATGATGGAGGTCTATGCTCCTAGACATTTAACCTTATGAGGGATTTGTCTCCTTTGAAGGAAAAGGAAAAAGAAAGATTAAAGGTATAGGTAAGATAGGTAAAAATTTTATACCTACTATAAATAATGTTTTGTATGTTGAAGGCTCAAAGTATAATCTGCTTAGCATAATAAATCAATTTTGTGACAATGGATTGACAAAGATGCATGCGTAGTCAAACAAGACAATGAGTCTTTTTTTTTTTACTTCCCATAGAAAGAATAATCTCTATAAGATTAATTTGGAAAATGTAGGAAAACAAAATATAACATGCTTAGTTTCTAGAGAAGATGAAAAATGGATTTGGCACAAAAAGCCTTGGGCATGCCAATATGAAACACATTAGAAAATTAACTAAAAAGGGTATAGTAAAAGGATTGTCTGAGGTTTCATGGAACACTTATCTTCTCTATGCAGTATGTCAGAAGGGGAAACAAATTAAACCATCTTTTAAATCCAAGAAAGTTTTTTTTTTCACTTCTAAACCCTTAGAACTATTACATATGGATCTGTTTGGTTCTACTAAAACTTTAAGTTTGGGTGATAAGAAGTATGGATTTGTCATTGTAGATAATTATTCTAGATACACATGGGTTTACTTCCTAACCCACAAACACGCGTCTTTCAAAGTATTTGAAATATTTTGTAAATATGTTCAAAATGAAAAAGGCTTTTCCATCTCTACTGTCAGAAGTGATCATAGAACTGAATTTAAAAATTATGATTTCAAAACCTTTTGTGAAAAGAATGCTCTTTAGAGAATGGTGTCTTTCACAACTTCTATTCACCAAGAACACCTCAATAAAATTGGGTAGTTGATAGAAAGAACCAAACCTTACAAGAAATAGAGAGAACTTTGCTTTGTGAAAAATCTTTGCCAAAACACTTCTAGCAGAAGTAGTGAACACGAGTTGTTATATTCAAAAAAAATTGATAAGACCATTGTTAAATAAGACTTCATATGAATTATGGAAGGGAGAAAACTTAGCATATCATACTTTCATCCATTTGAATGTGAGTGTTATGTCTTGAACACTAACGATCAACTTAGAAAGTTTGATTCAAAAGTGGAAATAGGGATCTTCCTT